TAAGATGCAAAATATGTGAGAGTACTTTTCATCTATATACAGGGTGTCCCGAAATAAATGCAACAAAATTTGGTCAGAAATTCTTAAGAGAAATTTAAGGGACCCGTATGTTTTATTTTTGATAAGTGCGGCCCCCTTTCGGAGATATAGCCCCCTGAAACAAGCCCCTAAAATTTTTTTTTTTATATCTCAGAGCTCTATCGCACAAGAACCACCAAATTTGGTACACAGGGATTTTATGACATGTAGAATGCGATGCTGATAAGCTTTTTGGCAAGGGGCTCCTACAAGACACTTTTTCGGGGGCCCCCTTGCTTTTTGGGCCACCCAACTTTTGTTGCATATTTAATTTTATTAAAAATTAGTAGCCCCTTAGAAACTCCAGGGAATTTAAAAACTTTTTTGTCTCTTAAAATTTTTTCGAAAAAAAGCAGCGTTTTTTAAAGTGTTAATAGTAGGTGGCTGGCATTCGCAATAAACAATCAATTTTATTCTGTGACGGTTGTCATTAACCAGTGTCAAAGTGTTACCATTAGTTGTCAGTAATCATTGTTCCCGAAAAAATGGAGATTTTCTGTCCAAGAAAGGGTACAAATGCACCTTATTTACGGGGAGGCTCGTGGAAATTCACGTCTCGCATGCAGATTGTACGCCGAGCGATTTCCTGCACGCATACTCCCATACCATTCAATGTTTGCACGAGTACATCGGCAGCTAATGGAGACAGGATCCGTAGTTGTGAAAAAAACTAATTCAGGGAGAAGTTATTTATTAACTTCCGAACAGGAAGAAATTATCTTAAATTTAATTGAAGAAAATCCTGAAATAAGCATAAGACGCGCGCCATCTCAACTTGAGATTCCCAGAACAAGAATACGCCGCTTTATCAAACGACAACTGTTGAAACCTTTTCACTTTCAAAAGGCCCAGGAACTTAAAGTAGAAGATTTGCCACGAAGAAGAAATTTTAGCTTATGGGCTCTTCAACGTTACAACTTAAATCCGGGATTTATACGAAATTTTTTCTTTACCGATAAGGCGAGCTTTACAAAAGATGGCCTAATAAATTTGCATTATTATAAATCTTCATTATTGGGCTATGGCAAATCCATTTGTCTTAAGGCAGACTCGTTCGCAAGAAAAATTTTCAATTAATTGCTGGGCTGGAATTGTCGGAGATTGCATCATCGGTCCATATTTATTGCCTCCACGATTAAATGNAATTTCCTCGTATCATAAACTCGATCAGTTAAAATTACTGCAAGCTCTTCCGACGTAGTTGTTTCAAATAAATATTTCATATTTTCTTGCTTTGCAGAACATATTATTTAAAGAGAATTTTTGTTAAGCACATTTGAGTTAAAACTTTTTCGTTATATTCAGTTTGATGTTAAAAAATAATTTGAAGAGTATCACATTTAAAGCGGCAAAATGTGGACGTTAAAATGACATTTTATTTTGAGGATAGGGGAAATAATATAATCTAATAAGTTATCATCGGAGACAACTCTACTTGGTCATTATTTTCAGAAAGATGCGAAAAGTATAAACATGTTGGTACCATCATAACTTCTTTCCTACCTATGAAATTTAATTTTTACGAATCTTTCACTAACTAAAGCACACAAAAATTCAAGAAATAAATCAATAATGTCAGTACATGACATTTACTTCAAAGTTTGTCTACGGCATTTTGTAACGGTATACCCGTGTACCATCATTTCTTTTACGTGTATTTGCCTCAACTAGCTTCATCTGCCTTGCACACATCAGCGCGATTGACCTCTCTTTCTAGGGCCAGTCCATAGTTTACTAGGTCTATGGACAACTTACAGAAGAGTTAATTGTGACAACTGGCATGACAGCAGCACACTTAGTTTTTCTTTGATTGATTGCAATCATATACGGTGTGAGGTGAATGGTAATACATTTTATTTTTTTATTAATAAACGAAAAGTTTTAAAGGAAAATTGCTAGAGAGGTAAAAGTTTCTAAAAGAACCAGTTTATCTAATGCGTATTTTTGGATATCGAGTTTTTACGAAATATAAAAGTTATGGCAAAAAATGGCTTGAGGGGTGGTTATTTCAACCCCTTTCGAGGGGTTAAAATTTTCGAAAAATAGTTGAAAACTCGCATCTGTATTACTAAACAACCTGTAAAAAATTTGTTATTTGTACTTCGTTCGGTTTTCAAATTACAGCCAATTTTCATAATTTTTTTGGAAATTTTGATGGCCCATATCTCATCAGGGGTGAACGTTTTACTAAGGCGATTTTTTGCAGATCGTGTTCTTTTGAAATGTAGATTCACTGGTATCATTTATGCTACTCCATTCAAAAACACCCTGTATTTTGCAACGCGATAGGACATAAGGAGCATATTTGAAAAATATTTTGTTCTGGAATTCCCCGCCACAGCAAACTTATATATTTTGTAATGAAATATCACTGTATTCTCATATTTGCATTTAGTTCATTTTAAGAAGGCAAAAAAGGAAATGTAAAGACCCGGCTTGTATACCTAATGGAAACCCAAAAAAGAAATTAAAAAAATTAACATTTAAACTCAATGTTTTTTTTGTATTACACTAAGTGACTAAAAATAAGCAAAAGTGATTGTTAAGACAATATAAAATTAACATCGTGTTAGTTATATTCACATTCAAGAATAAATTACTTTTTTTGTCGTCACTTTTTTTCATTAAATATCCAGTGGTTTCCTTCTTATCGGTAAGTAGCTACTGATTTGTAGATTGAAAAAGAAATCTACCTGAGCCAGACTAATTTTTAAGCTGTAAATTTATTTTGAAGCTACCAAGGCTTGAACATAAATAACAATTTTATGTGGGGCACCCTGTACGTAAAATTTAATCTTTACTCTTAATAAAGAAAAATTAGTACATATTATTGGTTTTTTATGCGTTATATTTTCGTACCTACTACTTAAGCTTTACAAAATCTTATTACTTAGGTACTTTTACACATTATGCTTTATTTTAGAACGCATTTTATAATAAACCAACTTTGTGTTTTCATTTTCAAGGGTAGCGACACCTGTGAGAGAGTATACAAACTAATTATAGTTAGAATATGTTAGAATCGCGATAATTCTGGTTTATATTATACATAATAAAAATGGAGTCGTGTGTAAAATGTTTGTTTATTGTGGTGTGTAGTTTGGTTATTGTGCCTGACCTAGTTCCATCGTAAATGCAATATATTGACAGACTAACAGTATGGTTAAAATTGAGGCACTTTGGCATTTATTTAAATTATTCTTCTGTTCTCATGAGCATTGAAATTTATTTCACTCACTAGCGGGAACCATTGCGAATACATTGATATATAATAATATTCAATTATGTTATCTGAAGCTCTGTTACACTGTAAAAATATACATACTAAATCGACCCCTTAAAACCAATATTCAAATATTACAGTGGTAATAAAGTTGTGTATAGTTCAATAACAGTGTTAGTATTCCCGGGTATACGTCACAACAAATACAGTTCACTAGAAACAAGCCCTGCTGAATCCACCACCTAAATTTGATTTTTTATTTAATTTTTTGAAATGGTAACATGTTTATGTATGTATGTGGAAAATAACCGATTACATTCTGATTATAACTTTTTTTTTAGAAATATCGTTTCTACGGTCAACTTATATTGCAAGTTGGATTTAAAGAAAATTGCTCTTCATGCCCGTAATGCTGAATATAACCCGAAACGTTTTGCTGCTGTTATAATGCGTATCCGAGAACCTCGAACAACTGCTTTAATATTTTCTTCTGGTAAAATGGTATGCACGGGTGCAAAGAGTGAAGAAGACTCAAGATTAGCAGCAAGAAAGTATGCCAGAATTATTCAGAAACTTGGATTTCCTGCCAAATTCCTCGATTTTAAAATACAGAATATGGTGGGAAGTTGTGATGTTAAGTTTCCAATTAGATTAGAGGGGTTAGTACTGACCCATAGTTCCTTTAGTTCATATGAGCCTGAACTATTTCCAGGACTGATTTATCGTATGGTGAAACCTAGAATTGTACTGTTAATTTTTGTATCTGGCAAAGTGGTCTTAACTGGTGCTAAAGTGAGACAGGAGATATATGAGGCTTTTGATAATATTTATCCTATCCTAAAAAGTTTTAAAAAACAATAAATTTTTAATATGTATAATGCAGTAAATTTGTTTACATTTTAGTTTACTTTACTACCGATTGTATTATTAATACAAATAATAATATAGCAGAGATTTTTTGGTAAGTTGCAGGGCTGGCAAAAAACATTTATATTTAGTATTTCAAAATTGTTTTTACCATATTCAAATTTGTAGAATTGAATAGTATAATTGAATTTTGTAGAATTCCAGACTCGGAAGTTTTATCTAAAGCTTTTTTAATATTTGACAAATAAAGACAGTGGACATGTGCAGGGTGTAAAAAGATGTTTGTGTGATGTTATCCACGGTTTCCCCAACGTCGGTTTATGGCGTGCGGGAAATCATCTTTGGGATGGAGGAGCTTATATCACCGAATTGTGGCCGGAAATTTATAGTACATTTTATATAAAAATAGAAGGACTAGGGAAACCTATAACTAACTCAGAACCTCTGTCTGTCCGTCTAAGTGGTGGTAAAAAATTATTATTTAAAAATGTTAGAGAATTTTCAACTTTATGCCAAAAAAAATTCTACGTCATCTAAATGTTTGTGTTCACAAAAATTTCGAAATACGTCAGCTAGAGGAACCCATAAGCAACTCAAAACTACCCTCGTTTTTCTTTGGTTGCCCGTATAGGGGGTCGTAAAATATTATTATTTAAATATTTAGAGTAGAATGTTCAACTTTATGCTGAAAAAAAAATTCTACCCCATCGAAACGTTCGTGTTCACAAACATTTCGAAATATGTCAGCTAGAGGACCAGTGTGAAAACAGCAGCCAAATCTAGCAGCTAAAGTTTCCCAATTTACCCGAATACTCATTGGCGTAGAAGGGGGGTCATCATAATTAACTATTTCTAACATTGTAATATTTTAGGAAACACTGAAATATATAATTAGCATTTGTCATTACTGTTCAAAATTTTTAACTTTTAGCTCGCGAGTTAGGAAATAAGACAATACGAAATTTATAGATTAAGGATGGAAACTGATGCATTTCTGGTTGCCTAAATTATACCGAAAAATGGTAGAAAACAGCCCTTTTTTTATTCCAATATATCTTTTTAAAGCAATGGAAGAAAGTAGTAAAATTTCATATCACATTTGGCAAAGTATAAATGAAGACAGTAAAGCAAAAATTAATTGGGATAGGTAAATAATTCGTGAG